ACACAAATGCCATAGTAAAGACATTTTCTTCACTTAAATGATTATACTTCTTATCACAAAGTACTCTAATTTTAGGTGTACCAAAAATAACATTGGTACATATGGAGTCACAAATTAACAGTTTCCATAAATAAAACCACTTTGTCAAAGAGCCAATCCTAAAAGTGAAGTTTCACATAATACTACAACCATGTTTGGATGTGAAGAAATTTTCAATCACTATTCCAGTGCCATAAAAAGAAATCTAAAATGGGCTTATCTCTAATTTTGCTGCTGATTAAATATCACAGTCAACATTCTTAAATGACTCCAATGTCATACAGAAGAAAAGTTGGAAGAGATAGAAAAACAATCATTTAAATCAGGCTCTCAGCCACAGTGGTGCACACACACCTGTAATCCCAGAAGATTTAAGAGACTGAGGCAGGGTGGTCACAAGTTCAAGACCAGCCTTGGCAATTTAGCAAGACCCTAGCTCAAAGAAAGAAAAAGACCTGGGGGTATAGCTCAGTGACAAAGTGTTCCTCAGTTTAATCCCCAGCAATACACACATACCTTCCAAAATCCTAAGGAATATGACCACAAAAGAGAGGGTCTATGAGGAAGACAGAATATAAATCTTTGTACCAAGCAGAAAATATCCAACTTAGCAAAGACTTATTAAAAAAAAAAGGTGAGAAGCAATCTTCAAACTATCAAATGCTCTTTGCTGTGATCATAGTTTACCAATTTTCCCTTATCTTCCTATACTTGTCTGATCACCTTCAAATGTTCTCTGAATACAATATACGTGTTATACAGAAAGGAAAGCATTTTCCTACAGAAAAATAAGCTTAAATTTCTACCTGCAATGCAGATCGTTAATAAGCTAAGGACACACTGAGAGAATACATAGAATCATGGAGATAAGATTAAATAGATTCGACTCAACATGGAGATCATCAAGCTCTGAGATGTAACACAAATCACTTAACCTCCTTTAGGGAGGTCTCCTATTCCACCAAGTGGAACTCACACCTTCTTGCCTCACAACATTGTTATGAGCGTTATCTCCCTAGCATTGCACCCTGCAAACCATGACATACTATGGTTTCAGGAAATGTTGTTTGTAATCTTATTCAAAACAAGTTTGTTAAATGTTTGTCAAAGGCATGAGGTRTAATATCTATCATTTCTTTGTTAAGGGGGAAATTTGAAATGTTAGGGAGCTGTTAAAGCAAAATGACACCAAAATGATGTTTTCTTCCTGATGCAATTAGAAGGATGGACAAAGGATTGAACCAGGAATATTGGTTATTTGCCGTTTAATGAATACTACATAATGTTTTGGATAGACCAAAACACTTTTGTTCTTTGTCATATCATTTTTGTTCTATCAGCAATAGGTGTTTCCACTTTGGGAAAGACCAGCATACTTCTTGCATTCTGTGGTCCTTGTTGCTAAGTGATGTATCCAAAGATATAACCTCAGTCAGTTGTGAAACTGGGCTCAACAGTGTAAGATTTTTCATGTCTTCAAGCTCTCCTAATCAGTAAAAACCTAAACTAGCTTAACTGCACATAATCCCTCAATTTTTTACAAAGTGGCAGACTGAATGCAAATGACAGGTAGATCTCTCAAACAGTTAATAACCTCGGGGAATTTGAATTTTATTACAGATGGTTAGCAATGGAAAACAAATTTTGAATTGTAATAAAAATTAAAGACCTGCAGATGAATGATCAGACCTATCAAGTGTCTAATCAGGGGAGTCCCTTCTGTCGCTAATCATGTACAACACTTACACACACTCGACACTGCAGAACTCTCTAAACACATTCACTTGGATTTCCTGTCAAGTAGATATATGCCCAGGTATGAGTGCTCTTCAAGAAAATTAATTGGCAACACAAATGTGATTGTGTCACTTTCCTTAAATGCTTCAATGGCTTCTCAATTGCCTTGGGGATAAAACCCTAAAGCTTTAACATGATTTCCCCCTTGATCTTCTCCATGAAATGGGGCTGCTCACCCTCTTTGGAGCCCCATCCTGTTTTTCTAATGTTCTCTCTTTAATCAAATTTTCCTTGCTGTCATAAAAACCTGGGATAATCACCTTATATAAATAAAAGGTAGAAATAAAAGGTTTATTTTGGCTCATGTTCAGAGGTTTCAGTTTGGTGTTTCAGTCAGCTTTTTCACTGCTGTGACTGAAAGACCCGACCTGCATGATTGTAGAAGAGGAAAAGTTCATTCAGGAGCTCATGCTTTGAGAGGTCTCAATCCTAGACAGCAGGCTCCATTCTTCCTGGCTTGGGGTGAGGCAGGATATTATGGTAGAAGGGTGTCCCAGAGGGAACCAGCTTACAGTGTGATCAGAAGCAGAGAAAGAGAGACTCCACTCTCCAGATCCAAAATATATACCCCACAGTCATGCCCCCAATGAACCACTTCTTCTAGTTGTACCCCACCTGTCTCCAGTTACCACCTAGTTAATCCCATCAAGGATTAGTTTGCTGATTGGGTTAAGGTTATAACCCAATCATTTCTCCTCCAAACATTCTCACATCATCTCACATGTGAGCTTTTGGGGGACACCTCACATCCAAACCATAACAGTCAGTGACCCATTGGCTCCATTATTTGTTCATGTGGCAGCACATTATATGGTGAGAGCGTGAGGCAGGGAAAACTGTTTGGCATTTCAGGATGTTAAAAAAAAAAAAAGAGTAGAAGAGGCCTGAATATCACTTTCAAGGGTACACTCCCAGTGACTCAAAACCTCCAATAGACCCCAGTTCTTGAAGCTTCCACCCTCTCCCAATGGCACCAGTATGGAGGCCAAGCCATCACCACATGAGCCTTTGGAGGACATTCAGGATCCAAAGTATGATACTCTCCATACTCCAGTCATACTAACTTCCTTTTATCTTCTCCAAAAAGAGGCCTGTTCATACCACGTTCATCTACTCTTTTGCAGCTGCATCACTTCTAATCCTGTGAATGCTCATCCTTCAAGTCTCAGATGAAATAGCACTTTCTCAGAGAAGTCTTCCTTGAACCCCTCAGATTATCTGTCATAACCTTCTCTACTTCTTGAACACTGAGACTACAGTTGAATTGCTGGTGAATGTCATTATATTCTACTGGCACATAACTCCCTGAAGTGGGAAGTGTATATATCTTGTCTATCCCTGTGTCTCTGGCATATACTACAGTGTCTGGCACTAAGTAGACATTCGCCATTCATCTGCTAATGAAGAGATACAATACAGCCAACTAGAATAACCTAGAAAATCTTGAGAGAAGATTTGGTATCATTTTCCCCCCAACACCATCTGGACCATTCTCTTTTTCTAAATATTGATTTGGATCTTTCTGGAGAAGGATGGGCAAAGGGGAAACTCAATCTTCCATCCATTTAAGTGACTTTGAAGGTCCTGGGTATGGTTCCATCCTGGGGGATGCTATCCTTTTCAAAATAAAACCACTGTAATATCCAACCCAGTGGGCTCAGATAAACCCCACACAAGCCAGAGCACAGCAGGGCATTCAAAATACAACATTCTTAAGTATCTTGCTTTCTCTTAAGCAATAAAAATCAGTCTTACTTTCATGTTGAAGGAAATCCCACAACTATCTACTCCAGTAGCTACAGTAGTGAATAGAGGAAGACATGGGATACACTTGGGGCAAAAAGAGGCAGCATGGTAGGATGGCGGGAGCACTGGCCAAAGAGTCAGAAAAGCAGTTCTTGTTCTGAAAACTAGGTTCTGGTTCTGACTCTGCCACTTATTTTGCTGTGTGACCCTAAACATTTGGATCCTACTAGCTAAATGCCCTGGCTTTAGAATTGAACAAATCTATTGTCCGTTGGGGTCTTATCATTTACTATTTTATCTAAGAGTTGCTGATACTTCAATAATATAGGCAATGTGCAGGTTGTAAAATACTGGACAAATTATGGAAAATGTTCCACTGGTCCCTGAGAGAACTTTGATCCTTTTGCTTTTGAACAGTGTCTGTTAATAACAAAATGAGCTTTCATTCCCTGCTATTTGATGGCTCCTTTTCTCATCAAGCTAGTGAGAGAGGAGTTAAAAATTAGTTGTGACTGATTCATATTCAAACATAACTGTGTGTTGATTGACGTGATGCATCTCCCCTACTTTCATTCATTCTTCTATAGAAGAACCATCTTTGAATAAAATAGCCAATATGATACCTTTTTATGGATCAGACTTTTGTTCACTGCAACAGAGCAAAAACTTGATGTAAAGAGTGATGATCTGAATCATAAGCTGGATAGGCTACCACCTGTATGCTTTTTTTTTAAGGAAACATAAATGCTCTTTGTGCTTATTGATGCTCAAAAATTCATGATTGATATAACTTTTCTTGGCACAATTAGAGACGACTGTGCAATTTACAGGGAAGTGATATAGTCAATTCTTACCAAGATACAGATTATTAATTTGAAAGTGTTTTCTGATGACAATTTGGGGAAGAGGACATTAAACACATGCCATATGGGGGAGATAAAAGAAAAAGAGCAACAACAACAAAATGAAATCAATCTTCCTACTTTGTTAGGTTCTGAAACATTAAAAGGGATTTATTTTTAAATGTACTCTTTTTAAATTATCTCAATTGAAGTAACTATTTTGAGAATAATACAGGAAGACAATCTTATTATCTAAATTCCTCATAATGCTTTCTTGTGTTCTATAACATTTCCATTGCATTCTAGGGTCACTATGGTTAACAATAATTGTACTGGATATTTCAAAATAGCTAAAAAGAAGATTTTAAGTATTACCACAAAGAAATGCTAATTGTATGAAATGCTGGATATGCTAAATACTATGGTTTAATTATTATACAATGTATCAGGTTTTGAAAGATCACACCATGCYCCATAACTATGTATGATTATGTGTCAATTAAAAATAAATTTTCAAAAGAAATGTATATCAAAGAGGAGCTGGATTGACCTATTTGACATTGGTTTCTATTGCAGACTTATAAATGAATCTTTGAGGGACCAGCTACTGGTGACTATACAGAAGACCTTCACATACACCCGAACCCAAGCTCAACATCTGTTCATCATCCTCATGGAGTGCATGAAAAAGAAGGAATTGGTATGTAATTTCCCATGGGTGGCAGAGGCCTTCTCCATGTGATCCAAATATTTTCTTGAAGCATGCACCATCCCCCCCCCCCCYGGTCGAGCTTACAACCCTCCTCAGGCTCACTGGTCCCACCAGTTTCCTCACCTAAATAGCAAAGACACAAGTCTTTCAGCCTTGGATTTAATGAAGCATGTGCAGCAGGGTTTCAGCATAATTTCCTTTTAGAGCTCATCTGAATGCTTCCAACTGCCTTAACCAAATGAATTGAGCAAAAATAGGTTTCCTCCTGGGAAATGCTCAAGTTGATCCTTTCTTGGGTTTGGGGTTTCACTTTGCTGGTAAGTAGCAAGTCATTCATGGTACTTTGTGGCAAATATCTTTAGTGACAGCATCCAAACTAATCTGCTAATCCATCATGGTGGAAAATGAAGAGACATACCCAAGAAATGCTAGTAATAATCTGTATGCAGTTTCTGAAATGTTGTCTAGTAGCTATTGAAACATTTCTTACATCAGAAAAATGTCTAACAAATGTGGTATAAGGAGAGACCCTCTGGTTAGGGTAAACAGAAATAACATGAGCAAATATTTAACACTTGCTATATGCCAGGTAAGTGCCAGACATCTTCTAACTCGTCCATCTTTGTCCTGATCAGAGAGGTATGATTATTGCCTTTACCTTACAGATGAGGAAACATGGACTCACTTGATTAGTAAATGAGAAGCTAGGACTCAAAAACATTGGGTTTTTTTTTTTTTTTTTTTTTTTTTGGAAATTGTCTCATTGAGGCCAAAGTAGTGAATTGCCTATTGAGTATATTCCCATCAGTTCCCATCAGGCCTCAGTTTGCAAAGACAATTTTCAAAGGTCACTTGAGTCCACCCGGTGACAGTGGTAGCAAAACATTTTGAAGAAGAATTGATTATATTAAGCAAGAGGCATCTCTGGAAAGCATCCACACAGCCTWTGTGAGAAGTCTTCTGTCAGCTTCCGGGTTTGGGAGGAAATCAAATGGGGAGAAAATGGGGCATGTCTGGTCCAAATCAGGAGAGAATGGGGCTTGTCTGATCTCGATTATCCATAGCCTGGCCACCACAGATACACACATACACACACACACACACACAAACTGACCAAACCAGCAGTTAGGGTACATGGTCATGACTGCTCTTTTCCCATAGAGCCTCTACCATCCCTGACAGTGCCACCCATGTGCAGCATCCTCCCATCTCAAATTCAGTTCTCTCCACATCTCAGCTCACTTGCTTCCTCCCAAGAAGGAGGTGCCTAAAACTTGAGCTTTCACAAGCCACAGTATGGATTTTCTTGAGTACTGATGATTTTCCAATATTGAGGCCAAAGCTCACTGTAAAAACTTAACCAGAGTTATATATTGCAGTCCTGCAAATTTCCCAGAAAGGCAATTCTAGTAAAATTCTAGGAACCAACTGGAGGTCATAAAACCAAATGAAGCTAAATGGACTTCTCTGGGTAGCTCATGGGACTGTTCTGCAAGATGCTGCCTGATAACTGTTGTGTTGCTTAATCGTGACCACTGCTACAAAGGTCAGCTGCATTGTAATCCAAGTTGTTCATTATAAGAAATGTGAAATAGTCCTCACTCCAGGCTAAGTAAATGCATCCTGATCAGGCAGTAAGTCATCTTCTATTCACATCTAGGCAGAAACTTTAGGGTTTTTAAGATTATAACTGTAATTAAAATAACTTCCATTTCTGAGGGGCTATTTATGTGCCTGGACAGGACTAGATGTTTTACAAATAAAGTGGTAGCCATTTTTTCCTTCTCTTGCAGAGACATTTAGAGGTGAGGAAATGCATTCACATCCAGGAAAAGGAGAGCTAGAACTGCCTTGTTACAGAGTTATCCACTCACCAGGCTGCATAGCACACAACACAAAACAAAGCATTACATAATGAAATTCCTCTTTCATATATTTCTCAAGTTTCCATCGATTCCCTTTACAAACTGCTTGGGCTATAATATTCTGAGCCCAATCTAATATTTGCCAAGTTCAGTTAAGGGGTTTGGTTTTAAGGCTTATGTGGTTTCTTTCTCCTGCCAGACTCCAGTGAACTTGCATAGAAAAGACCCACATTAAGAATTTAGCTTATGTCACATGGGTCTCAAGCCAGTGTGGTCTCATGGAAAATCTGCCTTGAAGGTCCTTTGAGGTGTCCAGGCAGGTGAGACCACCCTCACCTGATCACTACATGGAGATGTTGCTGTACTTTCTCCTCACTTCACAGTTTTGAAGAAATTAATTTCTCCTGTTTACTCAAAAGCTGTCAACAGATGTATCCTCCCAGAAAACTACCCTGTGGGATAATTCCATCAATTTATTTGCATACAAAAAGAAAAACTGTCCACAACAGCATATTAATCTGAGAACATATTTAAGAATTCAGACTTTAATAATCATCCCCCACCGCCCTTCTTCCTCAAGAGTCATCTGGCCATAAAGAACAGCAAACACAGGAAGAGAGTACCCAAGTGGCCATCCCCTCCTTGAGGCTGATTCTATATATAGAAACCTCCTCCTTCCAGAGGCTGGTGCCAGCTTCTCCTCCTGTTGCTGCCTCCCAGGGCTCCTGCCTACCCTCTGAGCTGCTGCAGAACTCTTCCCCTATCATCATTGCCAACCTACCAGCCCCCTATGGAGGGAACCTTTGGATACCCTACAGTGGAGAAGGACCCACTGGACTCAGCATTGCAAGCCCCAAAATACATATAGCCCTCAAAAAGTCACAGTGACAGGCAGCAGTGGCCCAGCTGCTACTTCACCACCTCCATTTCCAAGCCAATAATTTCTAATGACTCTCCTCCCCTAGACCTCCCAGGATATGGTGCTATTCACCTTTCCATCACCTCCCAGTCAAATCTAGGACTTGCATCTGTACTCAAAGCTGATGCTGTTCCAAAATCCAATGCTTTGAAACCCACTTCTCCCTCCAAACACAACTTCCCTACTTGTCCCTGCCCCCATACTGCTGCTTCCTTGATATTGATCCTGACCTTGAATGCCAAGCTTCCCCGTAATTCATTATCCTAAGATCAAATTCCCAAGTAATCCATGTGGAAGTACCTAGATTGCACCTTTCATTTATTTCCCTGTGCCTTGAGAGTACATGCTATGTATTTCTACCCTAGCTTCTCACACCTGTGTGGCCCTCTGCTCTGTCCCAGTGCTTCTCTGAACCACCCACAAAGCTGAGCCATTTGGTTCTCATCCTCCTAGGCCTTCAATAACATAGAGCAATCCTTGTGTTTGTCTTTAATTCATAACCACTTTCTTTCCCAACAGTTGCTCCAAGTCTTTTATGTTGCAGTTTTAAACCACACCCACATTTTTAATATATTTTAAATGCTTGCCCTGTGCTGGTTAGCTTTTCCTGTTTAAGACCTTTCTATTCACTATATTTGTAGTTTGATAAATTTCCATTTAAGTTGAGAAATCATTTATCAGCCTTTTGTGTTTTGAACTTTTTGCCTCTTATTAAACTCTTATCCCAATGACAAAAAGATGCCCGATAGTTTCTTCTAAACCATGTATCTAGTTTCATCTTTCACATGTAATGCACAACCAATCTAGAATTGGCTTTCTGTATATAATACAAAGTAAGGACGACTAATTCACCCTGCATTTCTCACTCATTGGTCCAACCTTACGTCACATAATGACTGCTCTGTCATCATCCAGTTTCCATACCTACCTGAGTCTTTCGGACTTTCCTAATCAGCATAGCTCTATAATGAGCCCTGATGTATGGTAGGGAAAGTCACCCTGCCAGTTGTTTTTCTCTAGGATTGCCAGCTATTTTAGCCCCCACTCATAAATTTTAAAGTCCGTTTGTCAGATTGCTTGTGTTCCACCCCCCAGTACAGAAACCAAAAATTTATTAATTTATGCCCTTAATATTCAACAGAAGGCTTATCCTTTAAAGAAAGCGAGGGCTGTACATTGAAGCTTCCCCCACACCCTTCCCCTCCATATGCATATGATGGGATTTTGACTGATACTTTATTTATTCAATCTGGTATCAAAAGAACTAGTATCCTTTTTCTAAGATCATTCTTAAAACTTGGGCTACATATCCCATCACTGAACACTTCCTCTGTGATCTTTCCATAAAGATCTGTGGTTTGGAGCAGTAGCCCTCTTCACTCTTCCCTCTGCGTTGAGTTCCACCTTCATCTTCCACCTCCCTACAGATCCAGGGACACTGGGCTCCTCGGTTGGCCCTTCAGCTTCCTTTTCCCCCCTTTTCCTTGCCCTTTCTCGCTGCTTTCACCCATAAATGTTGACACTACCTGAAGCTTTGTTCTCAATCTCTTTTTTATCATTTTTTTAAAGAGATTTTAAAGTTTTCCACAGTAGGAGACTTCTCCTTGAAATTCTGTCCAGTTTTTTCTTTTATATATTTTGAGATTGCTATGAAGTTCATAAACTTTTAAAACTAGCCCTATTCCAGTGAGTTATATTTCTATCATTATTCAACAACCTTATTTATTCCCAACAATTGCTTTTCGGTTCATATGATGTTAATACATTTATATCAGCTTCTTTTTCAGACTTTACTGAAAAAGTAAATTTCCATTATCTTTTTTATTTCCAACTTTGTTATGTGGGTTTCTTGAAAATGATATATAGCCTTTTCTAAAAATATATTAGAAGCTCTAATATTGAATGATAAATTTAGATTATTTCCATGTTTTCTGCACTATTTACTCTGAATAACTTTTATGTTTTATTCATTAAGATACACTCCCCTACTGAGTCTCATTTAAGGATTTCACTCTAGTATCCTTTTTGTTCTTGGCTTTGACAATGTCCTCTTTGGAAATTACTCACAAACCTATCTCTGGCTCTAACCTTTTTCTCACTGTCTCCACAACGATAATTGCAACTTACAGGTGGACATTTCTTTGTCACTTCAAGTTTAACAGGTCCAGGAACAAAAATCAATCTCTCTAATACCATCAAATACC